TGTTGGAGGGCAAGCTGCAGCTCTGAAATGCAGCAAACGTTTGGGCTTCCACCAATGGGAATATTGCAAGTAGAAGCTGGAGAGGAGCACTTTCCCATCACGTCTTCTGCAAAACTCTGTATTGGAGCCCAGCACTGAAAATGCACAGGCTGGACGGTCTGCTAGTTTTCCTGTCCCTTTCTACTAAAAATAGCAGCAAGCCAGGGCTCTGCTCTCACTGCGGCATGTGCCGTGCCACGGTGCCCTTCGCTGGGATTTCAGCAAAACAATTACAGCAGCAAACAGCCTTCCCCCTCTTCCTCTCTGCTGAAGATGAGACCCTCTTGTACTGGGAAGCAGTGGTCAGAGAAGCCTCACGAGGAATGTTAATCCATGTAGTGGGCGTATGGAACCTCCTATTTTACTAAATTTCCTAAGCTTTTCTTTACTTCTTTTTTGTGTGCAGCTCCACACATCAGAAAAAAGCCATCTCTTCCCAGTGAACCTTCAGCTGAAGGACAGACCAGACAGATTTATCGACAGTCCAGAGATGATGACAGGTCTGAGTAGCAAATATTTTCATTCTGCTCTCATCTGGTCGGCTTGAACTGCTCTAAAATCCTGGCAAAGTTTATGGGTTCAGGAGAGAGACCATGGCTCAGCCAGGCACAGCTCGGTTCTCTCTCAGGTACATGCAGAAACCCAGAGCTGCACCCATGCGAACGTGTGCCCAGAATCCAGAGGGACGCCCGCGGACGTCCCCTCTGCACGCAGTGAGAGCCAAGCCCCGTCCCTGGGTGCGGGCAGTGGTTGAGGTCTCACCTGCCATCGCGCATGGGATGGGGTCTGCTGGTCACAGCAGGGACCTGGGGAGTCCCCAGGGCGGGGGGAATTCCTCCTGGGGGAGACAAGGGCTGGGGGAGGGCTCTGCCGTGAGCTCTCACAGGAGTGTGGCATCAACATTCAGCACGCTGTGAAGATTTAGTCTTTTTTCTTTTTTCCCCTCCTGTGCTGAAAAAGAATAAAATGTGTAAATACATGTCACCCCTGGCCCGCTCTCTGTCTCTGGGAGGAACGCTCAGGCTCCCTGCCCGGGGACTCGGCACTGCACCTCGCTGCGTGCTCTCGCTGGAGGCAGCCGCTTCGGGCTCTCCTCCCTCCCGGTCGTGTCAGCAGCTGGAGTGGAAGGAACTGATCTGCCCTGCGAGAGCTGGATGCTCGGAGTGAGATTGCCTTTGGAGAGTGGCTCTGATGGGTAGAGGGACGTTAGCCCCACCAGCCACGGACCCGGGGTGAAAAGGCTTCCCCACAGTAAATCCCAGTGTATAGACGAGGTGTATCTCACAAAGCATTCCACGCTGGTGAAATAACCTTCGAAATACCAGCATGGTTAGCCGTGAGACGTGACTTCCTCGCAGAAAGAAGAGGGTGTCCGTATTTCTGAGACATGGAGGTGGTTCCGAGGAGAGGGGTGGGAGGTCTGAGCTGAGACTGTTTTGATGTGCAAGAGAAGACTCTCGGTTCTCAGCGTGGGTGGTGCTGGGAGCAGGAACGACAGCGGAAAGAGCGTGGTGGGATCCCCCCTCCTCCTGCGCAGGGAAGGAGCTCACTTACACAGGCTGTCTTTGCATCAATCTGAACGTGCCAGAATATTTGGAGGTCCTGTGGGACTGTTAGCCTGCTCTGGCTCCTCCTCGCCTGGAGCAGATTGGTGCGAGTAGAACTAGGGAGGCTGACTTGCAAGCGGAGACAGAGATCTGCTGGGCCAATTAGAAATATGTGCATCTTTTGTACTGTCTTTAATGGCATTACTGTTATTAGTGTTTATTATTTCAATATTTACTAGCTTTTATTGCAAACTGCATTTTGGTAGTCCACTGAAGGAATTCTGGCTCTTTGCTGTTGGTTGGAGAACCAACCAGTGTAACTCACTGGGGGGGCTCAGGAGGAGGTGAAAGAAGTTCATTTTTTTGTGGCGAACGGGAGGCTCCCTCGGTGCTGGTGGTGTTTCGTCAGCATGAGCGCAGGCAGACCACTGAAGGCTGAGGGATTCGTTAGCTGCTTATGAAGTGCCTTGAGATCCTCCCCTGAACAGAAGTGCGAAATGTGACTGCTGCTTTGTTTTATGTTCTCCTGCAAATTCTCCTCTGGGGAAACGAGTGTGAAAGCAACATTTCCTGAGTGTTCCTGGCTGTTTATCTCAGCGGATGCCCAGACTCCAGCGGCAGAAGGCTTTGGGCTGGGGAGGAAATGTAACCTAGGGCACCAGCTAATGAAGAGGTGAAAGCGGTGTAGGAAAATGATTTGGAAGCTGAGCTGAGCAGATCTGAAGGGAGAAGTCAATGACAGGGGCCCGTGGTCACCAGGGGGAAGGAAAGGAACTGTAAACACCGTACAAAGCACTGTAAAAATCCGATTTTTGTCAGTGTGGAAGCAACGTTATTGCTTTGCTAGCAGGATGGAGCCAGCTTTGCCAAGTAGCTTCCCATGTGGATGCTGAGAGTTGGAAACATGTAGCATAAATTGACAAAAGGTTCCGAGTTTGGGTGTTGTTTGTTTTTCAAGGGGAAGAAAAAGGAAAAGAAAGTGCTAAATTATACTGCAGTGAGAACAAGCACCCAGTCCTTCTGGGAAATCTTCAGGATGGCAGCCAAGCGCTGCCGCGTCTTGCTGTATGTGCAAGCTGCTCTGCTCATCCACTGGATTTCAGATGTGCCTTGGATTAATATAGCTGGGGGTGGGGGGGTGTGGGGCTGCCTCGAGCTAAGCAGAGCTATGGAAGTCTCAGGCCCAGGAGCTGACGTTTTCTGTTGTCTCTGGTCGTTTAGTGGAGGTGTATAACTGCGCGACTGGGAGTGCCGACTGTTCCCAGTGCCTGGGGAGGGAGGACCTGGGGCACCGCTGCGTCTGGAGCGAGGGCAGCTCCAGCTGCCGGCTGCACGGCGAGCTTCCCCCGGTCTCAGACTTCTGCCCGGCTCCGGAGATCAGGAAGGTAAGACCCCAGTGCAACGCGGAGGGTGCACGTGGCGTGGCCATGGTGCAGAGGGTGAAACCGGCTGCGCCGTGCCTGGCCCGGGGCAAAGGAGGGAGGAACCGCGCTTTGTCCCTGGCTCAGGACAGGGTTGAGACCAGCACTGCATTGCTTTCTGTGCTGCTGAGTCACCTGAGCCAAGGGCCTCGTGCTAGTGACAGGATCCAATCCTAATCGTGTTGGTGGGAAAAACAACAGCAGCACAATCCAAATGTCCCAGAGTTCCTGGGGCTGGTAAAAGTGAGAACGATTTGTAGAGTTGGCCAAAGCATTCTTACCAGGAATAGCGTTTAACGGAGCACAGCTGAAATGTGAACGTGAGCCCGATCTCCAGACACACATGCTCTGCAGTTCTGCTGAGACTGAGTGGCAGAGGGACCTTTTGGCATTATGCATTTTGAAATGAGTTTTATTTAAATCGTAGTTGAATGAATGTTTGTTGGGGGCATTTGGATCTGGGGTTCTGCTTAGAGGTATGGTATGAGCCAACAGATTTGTCCCTGACAGGTTGCAAAGAAAGTGTGTGGAGCAAATCTTTAAATGAGCTCTCTAGGAAAGGAGAAGTTGGAGAGGCAAAACAGCTAATGTCGACATTAAAATAGGCAAGGGTGTGTTCTCAGGGAGGCGTGTAGCGATAGCTGCTCAAGGTCTGGGTGCCGTAAGACTGCGTGGAGGGACCGCAGGATCCCCATCGCCTGCCCCTTTGCTCTCCTCGCCGTGGGAGAGGGGTGCTCCCTGTGATCCTGTCCTTCCCCAGCACACGTCCAGTGTTGTCAGCAGCTGGCCAGAAAAGAATGGAAGGAAACCACCGTTCAGGTCGCAGAGCGTCACAGGACTGTGCTGCTGTTTCCTTAGCAAATAGTAGCTGGTGAATCCAAATCCTCCGCAGTCACGCGAGCAAACGAGCGCTTGCAGAGCTCTCCTGGAGGCGAGGGCGAAGCAGCAGCTGAAGGAAGCTGAGCCTGGGGGGGGTCCCAACCGGCCCTGGATGGCTTGGCCAGCCAGTGGCACCAGGCACGTTGCGCTGGCTTTGTGTGCCACGGCGTTTGCAAAGGGAAAAGAGCCATTTCTGAATGGGGGGGCTTTGTCCCACCCCCGAATGATGCAGTCGTGCTGCCTGGGGACGCCCCTCACGGGTTCCTGTCCCCTCACAGTGGCGGGGCCATCATCTTCGGGTGAAGAGCCGCTGGCGTAGGAGGTGGATGGCCAACAGCCTTCTCCTCCCGCGCAGCCCTGCGCGTCCCGGGGTGCCGCAGTGATGGTGTCTTCACCGTGCGCCACGCATCAGGACACTTTTTGTCTTTTTTTTTGACCTGAAAGGCCCCGCTGTGTTCGGGACAGCCCTTAGAGACACGGTGGCAGGACTGTCCCTTCCCAGCACAGCAGCATCCCTGCTCCAGGTGTCTGAGTCTCTGGGTTTGTCTCTGCCTCACCTCCGTTCACAGCTGTGGTGTGCAAGGAGTGATGTTTGACCCCAGGTGTGTCTGCAGCTGGAGTAGTCCCTGACCAAACCCTGCTTCCAAACGCAGCACAGAAGCGCGATGGCTTCACATGGGCAAAGCTGCAGGCAGGGGAGCGTGGTGGTGGGCGTGCTGTGGGGGGAGCAAGAGCACGAGGAGCGGTTCC